GCATGCTGATCCCCACAGATCAATGGTGGTAGTCCACCTGCATGCTGATCCCCACGGATCAATGGTGGTAGTCCTACTGCATGCTGATCCCCAGGGATCAATGGTAGTAGTCCTCCTGCGTGCTGATCCCCAGTGATCAATGGTGGTAGTCCGCCTGCAAGCTGATCCCCACGGATCAATGGTGGTAGTCCTCCTGCATGCTGATCCCCAGGGATCAATAGTAGTAGTCCTCCTGCGTGCTGATCCCCAGTGATCAATGGCGGTAGTCCTCCTGCGTGCTGATCCCCAGGGATCAATGGTGGAAGTCCTCCTGCGTGCTGATCCCCAGGGATCAATGGTGGTAGTCCTCCTGCGTGCTGATCCCCAGGGATCAATGGTGGTAGTCATCCTGCATGCTGATCCCCACGGATCAATGGTGGTAGTCCTCCTGCATGCTGATCCCCACGGATCAATGGTGGTAGTACAAGTTGTGTGCGAGGCGCATGCATCACAAGGCATACATCAGATAACAAGCAAGCCAGAGTGCGCAACGCACGCTGCATGTCTCAGTGACTGAACATGAAAGTGACAATTTTATAGAAGATTAAGAATTACTGGCTGTTTCCCCCGTGTCAATTGCGTCAATGGTAGTGCCTAGGGCCATGAATAAATTGAACGAGTTTAGTCATAACTAGGTCAGTTTAGAGCATTAAGGCTTGGTTCTGACAAATTCGGCTCCTTTTCTCCTCACTATTGCTACGAATTACACAAATGCTGGCTTTAAATCACAAGAACTGCGCAGCAGTCCATCATTTTAAACACAGGACACCTGTGCTTACCTGGGAGTAGGCTGGTTTAATCTATCAATGACAGATGACAAACTCAGGAGCACAATAAATTAAACATATATCAGGCCATCAAAATTTAAATATCTTAAATTAGATATTTTACCATTATAAACCTGCACTATATTTTATTATTGAATTCATTTACTAAATGATTAATGAAGTTTGGCAGAGCAAATGGCTTCTGTAACAAGTTTAGAACTGCTGTGACATTTTACAAAGAAAACTAGAGAAGCAGGTCATGGAGGCATTTTAATGCACAGGCAACAAAGCTGATGTCCTTGAACCCGGACCTTCATCTTTTTTTCATCTGTAGTTTTCGTATTCAAAACACATACATCAAACTTTCTTTTACACATGAAATCAAATTAATTTTCAGCAAGCATCTGCATCCTTAATATTACAAATCTGAATTAGAATAAAAGCTTTTGAATAAGAACTTTTAAACTCCTGTATTCATAATCATGCATGTTTACACCTATAGTAGACTAAGATATATAAATAGCTGCCCTAGAGCCCTGCTTTGAAATTGTATTGGCGATATGATAACCCTATTTTGCATGCTTGAGCTTAGGACATTATCAAACCTAACCTGTTTCCTCTACATGCTTGAGCTTAGGACATTATCAAACCTAATCTGTTTCCTCTACATGCTTGAGCTTAGGAAATTATCAAACCTAATCTGTTTTCTCTACATGCTTGAGCTTAGGAAATTATCAAACCTAATCTGTTTCCTCTATAGGCTTGTGGTAACAAAGGGTTCAGATACCAATCTGACCAGTAGATTATGATGACCTTGACTTTGATAGAGGTCAAGGTCTCCTAGGTATCTCTATATATTGTGAACAGGACTAGAGATAGTGGACAATGGTCTGTGTACCCCATTATAACATGTCAGTCTAGACAATGTATCACTCAGTCTGGAGTCAGTCCCTATCACACAGCCACCCGAAAATACACACTCTGATAGAGATGCAGTGGGCTCTAACTAAATTCCTCGGAGAAAATTTTATATAGAAAACGGGAAAACTATTCTCCAAACCACTGACAGGCTAGCAGAACAAAGTGACCAGTGGTAGCTCATTTAACAAGACTCATTTTAATCTACACTTTAAAATATGTAAATCTTCATTTTTTTTAAATTCAGTCCATCATTAAAATATAAAATTTGAAAAAAATCAATATTTTGTTCAAGTGATACCTTTAAAATCAATTTACCACCTAAAGCAAACAAAATCCATTTTCATGCATAATCTATGGAACTGCTTTCATCCAAAAAAGCTAGCAAAACTGCTTCAGTACAAAAAGGCTATCAGACAGCTTCAGTTCAAAAAAGCTTTAAAAAACCCAGCTTCAGTCCAAAAAGGCTAACATCAATCATTCATAACAACTATTCCTAGAGTGTATGATTCACATGGAACATGGTTTATGACGTGAAATGATCGTAACAGTTCACATAAGGTTTAAAACTCAATTAGCGTGATCAATTTGCTGTCACGCAAAATGCATCAATTGAAAAATGTCTGCAGGTTCTAGCGTAAATACAAGATATGTATCACAACTTGAAATCAATTTTGTTTCTTCTTATAAAATGCGTATGAAGTTTTCAGATAAAACAGTATCATTTTTTGTCGTTTGACATGGTTCTACATATAATTCTGACTACACAAACGGAAGCATATTATTTTTTACATTTTTACAAAAACAGACTGATAAACTCGGCTACGGATAACACAACCAGTTGTCTCTCCAAACAACATCTTACCACTAGGTACCATTTCATACTTTTTTATAACTTAATTTCCCTGAACAGTTACTCACTCGGACCGCAGTTACTCATCTTGTGTAGGATTACTCATCCTCAATAGAGCGGATTTCCATTAGCATTGATATTCTGGAAAATCCGTTTTTGCAGAAAAAAAATCATGTTTGGTTCCCTTGGTTTCACAGAAACACATTTTCTTGAATTGTAATGAAGCTTTGATAATTAAATGCCACTGATACAAGCCTTCCTCGGCTGTGAGGTCTAGAGCGTTCCACCCCTAGGGTGTTAGTGTGAGTTTGTCTCCTGATACCAAGGGCCAAATTGTGTTGGACCCCTTAAAAGGATCTTAAAATAATTGTGTAACTATTTCTTATTTTGGAAAAGCCCTTGATAAAACATTGATTGTTACCATCCAATTTTATGTTAAATCTTTGTAAACTAATTGAAATAACAGTTAGGAAGATACCTTTCAGAGGTTGCCACTTTTCTTTCAGAGAAAAAAGTCTCTTTAATACCTAAGATAATCAGTGTTTCTTCAGGTACAATTTTGAATACAATGTGGTCATATTCACACGAAAAATAGTTTATTGTGCTTCATGATGCAAATAACACTTAACTTTATATAAGGGATGGTAAACAAACAGATTTTAAGTCATTTAAATAATTAAAATAGGATAACTGAACTACTTATTTTCATGCATTTTACCTTATTCTAAAGCCTGAAATATCTATCTGAAAGAAAATCATAACTACCAGTAAATGAACATCTGGGAAGAGGTGCATTGTACTGTATAGCAGGACTGAGTCTCGTTACTCAAATAAAGGTGGAAGGGAGACAACTCTTATAACATCTTGTCATATAACTCAATGTTTACCTTTCGACAAACTTTATGGTAATATAAACTTGGTATGTAGCAGTCATATCCTCGGCCAAATCTCACTGGAAGTCTATTATGGAGAAACAGTGAAATGATGCAATACTTTTTTGAGAATGCTGCCATGCTATGTAGTCAGCCCTCAGATATATGGTCACAAATACTTAGTCTCACTAAGCTTATCTGACTATTATTATGAAGTAAATACCAGTAAATAGAAAACCTCTCCATCTAAGCCTGATTGTACACAGCCTAATTATGAATGATTTATTAATTCAAAATGTCTGAAAAAAGGGAATATTTACAACCTTTGTTTCAATCATAACATTTTCAAATATTTGTTTGCTTTTGCTCATAAGAACATGTATAATTCTGATAATGTAATTTAGATATGTTTAATTTCAATGTGATTGTCATTCTTAGAGTCAACACTTTTTTTAAATACTTTCATGAATCTGCGTTGAGCTTAACAGGCTTTACAAAGCTTGATTCTGGATCCAGCTTGAAAGCTTCATTAATTTGAAACACAGAAATATCAGCATTTTGTGCATATTATCCGAGATTGACCTTTTTAAGCCCTAATAAATACATGTTCTCTTTTTCGATAATGATGAAAATATCACAAACTCTGATTTTAACTAAACATGGGATTATACTAACTCATTAAGTTTGAGCCAGGTCATAAACTATGAATCATGTGCAATGATTTCATCCGAGTGATATCACTGACTTAACATTTTCACTGCCGTACAGTGAAGTATATACCAACTCATACAAAAAGTACTGAATTTTTGCATACATGCAATTCTATTTATAGTTCTGCTGTAACAATGCCGATTCACCTTTCTCCTATAATGTAGGGACTGTCAAACTGTGCACAGTAATGGAAATTACCACTTCTTTCTCATTTTACAATGATTCAGGTGTTTGATAAAAAGCACCAGGAAGTTATCACAGTGTTGAACAAATGACAACAAAAGGTCTTAAGATACATCAGACTTCCTGGTACTAATTACATGTTTAGGTTGTGATTCTTCGTTTGCCTTTACAACCAGAGCTGTTAGAGATAAGCATAGTTTGCCTATACGTGATGTATTTAAGTTAGCAAATATCAATAGAAATACATGTATCTTAACATATTTTTAGGGTGTTAAACCGATATTGTTTTAAATGTTTTCCCAAATCACTACAACAACATGGCTTACATGATGGACCACATCAGCCTCCAGAAATTTAAGTGACAAACGAGGAAATGTTGAATTCAATAAGATCACTTGTGAATAAACATGTTATTCTTATTACTGTAAATCTATATTTATCCATTTAAAATTAAATCACATTCTGTCTGATGTATAGTATCTAAATGTTCAATGCTTAACATTCTCCAGTCGAATTCTGATGTTTCAAATTTTTCCCAATGGTCCCGCAAAGTTTGAAACATCGAAGTTTGACTGTATTTAAACACAAAGCTGAAATAAATACATTACTTGTTGCCTGTAAAAAATATAAACAATCAAAATAGAAAAGCTGACTAACCTGGTAGCGCCGGCGGTTCTACTTTCGGAGCGGGTCCTACATATTCCACAAAGTTACCAGGGAAAAATCCAGTGGTGCCTTTATTTTTATTATGCCCCTTCATCCAGGTATCATTGGTGGTCGGACGTGGACCCTTCACCTCGAGGATGTCCCCAATATCTATACTGATGTAGTCCGGTTCCTCATCTTCATTGCCCGTTTTCTCTGGGGCGTGACCAAACATGGCCGTGTACAGGTGGACCTCGCCGTCCATCCTGTCCGCCTACAATTCTTGTCGTCCTATTGAGATGGTTTGTTAACAAGTTGTGTTGGGGTTTCAAGAGTTGATATCTCTTCTCAGAAGCACCTGTACTGAAAATTAAAAGTGAACAAATTAAATACAAACAAAACGACAACTAATACAAGTTGGTCTCATTTCCTTTTTGACATAAATAACAAGAAGCCCTGAGGGCCTGTATAACTCACCCGGATATTGCAATCACTTGCCCCATACAATGCATATTTTACAGACTAAACGACAGATTTTTCTAAATGATATAAATTTTCATGAAATACTTTAAGAGTTGTTTTTACTCAGTAACTGCAATATTAAAATGTACTTAACTACTATAACAGTGATGAATGAATTTATTTATTTACATATTTGTATTTATTTACATATTTGTATTTATTTACATATTTTTATTTATTTACTTATTTGTATTTATTTATTTACATATTTGTATTTATTTACATATTTGTATTTATTTAATCCAATTTATCTTTCAATTGCTTCCTGGAATTCAGATCCAGATTTTTCTGTTTGTTGTCACACCAGTGCAACTTAAGTTTCCTGTTAATAAACAGATGTTTTTTCAGGCCAAAACGATGTCCTTCATTTGTTAACTGGTGCATACATTCATTCAATAAGTAAATCCTTGTTATATGTTTTAGCAGGAGTTTCAGTTATTTTCGTCAGTCCTAAAGTCTGAAAAATTGCTTGCAGTGATTGAGAGACTGCTAGCATTCTACCGTCAGTTTTCTCTTCAAAACGAAGATTAATTTAACTCATTTACCCCTGAAGACACATTTGAACTCTTCCAATTCAATGGTTGGAACAGTTCATTTTTCGCTTGTCTGGGGCAAGTGAGCCAGCTTTTTGCACTTGTCTAAACTCTAACCCTGGTTGTCTCGGCATCAGGCCGGTAGATATCTCTACATTCCCAGCAATTATATAGAGTTGTTTAATATATCCATGAATAACAAAAATTGTGATAAACTGACAAAAATATATTTGAAACGTAATACACTCCGTCAGTTGTTTTATGTCTTATGGAACAGACTATACCGCTATACGGTACACGGGTATCTGTGTTGTAAGTGGGTGCCCAATTGGCCTATAGGCGTTATGTCTTATGGAACAGACTATACCGCTATCCGGTACACGGGTATCTGTGTTGTAAGTTGGTGCCCAATTGGCCTATAGGCGTTATGGCTTATGGAACAGACTATACCGCTATCCGGTACACGGGTATCTGTGTTGTAAGTTGGTGCCTGCATTGGCCTATAGGCTTTATGTCTTATGGAACAGACTAGACCGCTATACGGTACACGGGTATCTGCGTTGTAAGTGGGGGCCCAATTGGCCTATAGGCGTTATGGCTTATGGAACAGACTATACCGCTGTACAGTACACGGATATCTGTGTTGGAATTGGGTGCCTGCATTGGCCTATAGGTGTTGTGTCTTATGGAACAGACTATACCGATATACGGTACACGGGTATCTGTGTTTTAAGTGGGTGCCCAATTGGCCTATAAGCGTTATGTCTTATGGAACAGACTATATCGCTATACAGTACACGGGTATCTGTGTTGTAAGTTGGTGCCCAATTGGCCTATAGGCGTTATGGCTTATGGAACAGACTATACCGCTATCCGGTACACGGGTATCTGTCTTGTAAGTGGGTGCCCAATTGGCCTATAAGCGTTATGTCTTATGGAACAGACTATATCGCTATACAGTACACGGGTATCTGTGTGGGTGCCTACATTGGCCTATAAGCGTTATGTCTTATGGAACAGACTATTCCGCTATACGGTACACGGGTATCTGCGTTGTAAGTGGGGGCCCAATTGGCCTATAGGCGTTATGTCTTATGGAACTGACTATACCGCTATACGGTACACAGGTATCTATGTTGTAAGTGTGTGCCTGCATTGGCCGATAGGCGTTATGTCTTATGGAACATACTATACCGCTATACGGTACACGGATATCTGTGTTGTAATTGGGTGCCTGCATTGGCCTATAGGTGTTGTGTCTTATGGAACAGACTATACCGCCATACAGTACACGGATATCTGTGTTGGATTTGGGGGCCTGCATTGGCCTATAGGCGTTATGTATTATGGAACAGACTATACCGCTATACAGCACACGGATATCTGTGTTGTAATTGGGTGCCTGCATTGGCCTATAGGAGTTATGTCTTATGGAACAGACTAAACCGCTATACAGTACACGGATATCTGTGTTGGATTTGGGGGCCTGCATTGGCCTATAGGCGTTGTGTCGTATGGAACAGACTATACCGCTATACCGTACACGGATATCTGTGTTGTAAGTGGTTGCCTACATTGGCCTATAGGTGTTATGTATTATGGAACAGACTATACCGCTATCCGGTACACGGGTATCTGTCTTGTAAGTGGGTGCCCAATTGGCCTATAAGCGTTATGTCTTATGGAACAGACTAAACCGCTATACAGTACACGGATATCTGTGGTGTAAGTGGGTGCCTACATTGGCCTCTAGGCGTTATGTCTTATGGAACAGACTAAACCGCTATACAGTACACGGATATCTGTGGTGTAAGTGGGTGCCTACAATGGCCTATAGGCGTTATGTCTTATTGAAATTGGCCTATAGGTGTTATGTCTTATGGCACAGACTATACCGCTATACAGTAGACGGATATCTGTGTTGTAAGTGGTTGCCTACATTGGCCTATAGGTGTTATGTATTATGGAACAGACTATACCGCTATACAGTACACGGATATCTGTGTTGTAAGTGGGTGCCTACAATGGCCTATAGGCGTTATGTCTTATTGAACAGACTATACCGCTATACGTTATGTCTTATGGAACAGACTATACCGCTATACGTTATGTCTTATGGAACAGACTATACCGCTATACAGCACACGGGTATCTGTGTGGGTGCCTACATTGGCCTATAGGCGTTATGCAATCATTTGTTTATTATATCGATATGGGTTATGCATATCTTTTTCATCTAAAAGTGTTACATGTTGTGTTGTTTTATGTCTAATATTAATTATTTTTATGTCTATATGTGATGATCAATTATGCCAATGTTATAAGCGTGAAGCAATTATTTTCTAAAGTTATAAGCGTTATACACTTGTTATGCGCAACCCTGTCTAGTCACGTGGTCTTGGTCTTTTTAAACACAGGAAGCCAGCGCACAGGGGGCAGTCTGTGAAGGTATGTCAGTCTGTAAAGACTAAGTTAAGGTAAGAGCGTACGCCAGCCTTAGAAATAAGGCGGCGGTTGGCGACGGAAGAGTAACTTTCGCAGACTAGCAATAGACTGTTGTGGTACTCAGGGTGTCGGCGGGTATTTACGTTGACTGGCACGGCCTTGCGAGGTCGCTGGGTAATTGGCATTAAACACTACGCTGGCTACGAATAACCGATGCAGTGCGATAGGGTTGTTTGAATCTTAGCCAAGACCACAGGACATTGGTTTCTACAGTACCTAAAATCATATAATTTTGTATTAAAACCCCTTAAACTTTTACTGTTGTTTGGTTTTATTTCAACTTTATCCTTAGCCATCACCAGCTGGAGGTATTCCACGTTACATATTTATGAAGGTAAAAGAATTATTTAAACAAAAAATAATTTTATACTGAGGAAACCATCTAACAAAGCCATAAAAAAATGAAATTTGAGGGCTTTTTAAGGACTTGTATTCATTTTCAGTGGGTTTTCCAAAGAAACAAGTAATTTTCATGAAACGCATCAAATTCAAGGTTTTTTTTGCAACCAGTGAAACCCCTAAAGAGGGATTTTCAAGATGTACCTCTATTTCCCATATTTGGCCCCAACCCGCTGTCCCCAAGGGGTGGGGGCCATACCCTCCCTTTCTACAGAATTGTATTCCTTTGTCCCAATGATAATCAAGAGCAAATCTTGACAAAATCTTCTCATTCCTACAGAAGAAGATTTAAAGATTTAAGAGCTGTTATATCAATGCTATAAATTTAGTTTTAAGATTTTTTTTATCTTAAATGTGATTCTGCTTTTGTAAGGATTTGTTTACTAAGACTGTCCCAAATTAAAAACCAAAAGGCCAAGAGGGCCTGATTGTTCACCTGGATATTTAAGCTATGACAACAAGATATTCTATTGAAAGCCATACTGCAAACCAACATGCTACTGGCCAAATATCACCAGTCTAGGCACTTACTTACTCAGAAGAAGTTGTGAAAAGGTATAACAAATTTAACCCATGACCTTGAAAGACTAAATATCACCACCCTGGCCCCTTGAATATAGGTTAAGGTAATTTATTTAAGGAAACTTTACAACGCTCCATCTCAGCATGCTACCAGCCAAATATCATTTCCCCAAGCCTCTTGGTTATTCATCAGAAGTTCTCTAAATGCATTTAACACATTTGACCCTTCAGGTCTTGTGGCATTGAAAATAGGTCAAGGTTATACATTTGAGGTAACTTAATAGCACTTAATCCCAGCATGCTACTGGCTATCAATATTGGCCTGGTTTTTCAGAAGATTTATTTACATATTTGACCCCTGTGACCTTGAAAGCAGGTGATCTAAAAACAGAATGTACACCCAGATTTGGGTTCATGTTGAATTATGCAATATCGCTTAAGGCTATGATTAATAGTCCTATTACTAATATAGAAATTTTGAATATAAAGTAAGTATCTGAAAGTAATTGTCCATTTTTTTTCATTTCAATATCATTTATTTTATGTAAACATAAAAGGTTTCAAAATATTATTTTTAAACTTGTTTGTCTATATTTCTTAAAGTATTTTGCATGAAATTTCTCCAATATGTTAACATAAATGTGAACACAAATAAATTTTATATTATTCAAAGTCTGTTATATTATTACAAGAGCACTGAAGAGACAGAACAATAAGTCAGTCATGTGACATGTAGGTTTCATTTACTTTTGCTGTATAACAGGGTATTCTAGTAAGCAATAGGCCCAATGGGCCTACATCACTCACTTAGTATTGATTATCAAGTTCATTTTTTCTCTAAACTGTTAAATAGAGGTTAGTATGTAGGCCGAAAACAGTATGTTCTCCAGAGTATTGATGGAAGTACCGCAGAGGGGGGATTAACACATCAAGAAAGTAATAAATCAGCGATCAATGGTCAGAGTGCAATTATATAATCAAAATGTTAACAGTCGTTTCCTGACAATACAGGTCTGTCTGTGATTCAACGTCCATGTTCCACACTCCGATAGGATGTAATATATAACGTACGTACAAGTTTCTATATTATGATTTTGTCATATTTACATTGAATGACGATTGATGTTATTTCCTGAGCTACTAGCATGTGTCCATTCTATGGACATTTGGCACATACTACAATATAAGTTTCATGAAATTACTTTGAGGAATGGAGTCGGAAGAGTGATGACAAAGTTTTTTTTCTAAAAAATAGTAAGTGACCTTGACCTTCACTTGTATGAAGTTTCACGAAATTCCGTTGAGGAATGAAGTCGCTAGAGTGATGACAAAGAGTGTAACATACGTACGTATGTGCGTACAGGCAGATTCCTGTATCCCCTTCAAACTTTCATTGCGAGAGGATAATAAGGGGCTATTGGTGGCTATATTTCATGGAACAAAAAAACATAGTTACCCAGTTTCATTTCGGATACGGCATACACAGTTTTCCGACTGGCATTATTTCTAACCATTGCAGCCCTATTGACAACTAAGACAAAAGCAATACCAGAGATGGTATGCAGATTATTGGGAGAAGAATGGCTTGCAGTCATACAGCGCACTCTGAACTGCGCCGGCCCTGATCAAGTATACACAATTCAGGTCCCGGCCACAGAATACAAGTGAGTGGATAGATAGATTTAACCCAATTAAAAAACAAAAAGAGCCAATGCCGACTTTGGCTACTGACAGCGTGAGCCCTGGTCCGAGAAATACGAAGCTACAATTTGACCTAAAGCGATCACACATGGTTCCGGCGAAAACAAAAACATTGTTTTCATCCGCAGAATCAGTCCAGCTTGCAAAATAGTTTATAGAGGCCTTTATTTTTACTCAGTGTTTAGACTGATTATAAACATGAATGGCTATTTTGACATTTGGAGGTTGTTATAAACATCAAAAAACATATTTAATTCGGAAAATATTTTGCAAACAGTTTTTTATGAAATTTCGAAATCCCACTTTGAACATGGAATATAACTCAACAACAAAAAATAGAGTCATGTTATGAGTCTAGTAACTCATGACTGTGAATATAAATGCTGTCTCAATCAGTGGATCTATCTGGCCATTAGATCTTTAGCCAGTTTAACTATACTGTAAAAATAACACTGGTCCATGCAAAAAACTGATGTCCCAAAAAAACTGATGATCATGATGATGAAGTAAAAAGAACTAGAAAGTGTTGTATGTTGTTTTACAGTATTGTTATAGACCCTGCCATGACATGTAATTGTTAAAACGTTGCAGTGAGACAAACTTCTATATGCATTAGCAATATAAAGTGTTGACATTGAATGCACAGAATGACACGAATACTGTTCATGGGTGTCTTCACTAGATCTAGTTAAAAATTCCTGGTCCTACTTCCCGTTTCCGAACCAGGGAACTTGAAATAAAATTCCGGATACTTAATGCACTTCAAAAGTTGAAGAGTAGGAAACAGCCAGCGTCAGTGTCATTGTGAACTGCTATGTGCATACATAAAACAATATTTAAGTTACCTGTGGATAACCTGCTTCATAAACAGCAAAAACCTGCAAACAGGAAATAGTTTTCCATGCAGTGCGCCATTACAGGATTTAGCCGTGACGTCATATTTGTTGTTCAGGAGTTATCTACCTTTACCCACTAAACCGAAAAATCCTCATGGCCACTGTCAGTCGGACGAAATATAACAATGGAAACATTCATATTGGGACCATTGAAAAAGTACATGCCAATTAAAACTTGGAGTTTACCATTGATTATATCAGTAGTAGTATTTTTTTGTCATTTGAAAATCAACTAATTCTAATAATTATTTTAATAGAACAATTAATTGAGACCCTAACATTTTTTCTGTTTTTTATTTGTTGCTTTTTGTTTTCGTTTTGTTTTTAATATACACCGGATTGTTTTTTTAAAGTGTATATCAATGTGTTAAGTAGACATCAAAGGCCCGAACACATTCACTTGAGTTTAACTTTGTCAATAAAAATGAAATAAAAAAATAAAAGAAGGATAAGACTGCTTGTTATTGTTCTGTTAATTCAGTTATAGATGGTCAATTTGTAACTTGACTGGAAATTTAAGATTGTCTATTACTTCCACAGCTGTGCGTGTTACTAGCAGGACAATGCATATTGATAAAAGAAGATAGTGCCGTCGCTGGGGCTCGAACCCACGACCATTGGCTCTCCAGCCCGATGCTCTATCGCTGAGCTAAAGGGATATCTCCTACACTGAGCTGTCGCTTGTAAGGCAACCTAACTAATTGCACATCATGAAACTTAATTTCTTCCACAACCACTATAGGTTTCCTCAATCATTGGATAAACCTGCAAACATTTTAGATTACCCACTAGTGGGTAACACCCCGATTCTGGCTGATCAAAGGTTTGTTAGAGCACGGACTTAGATAAGCTTACGTGTGTATTCTAATATAATTCCGTGATTAGAGCTAGGGCCTAACCATTGGTTAGAAAAACATAAAATATGAACATTGCAAACTCAACTTGAAGAAACTCTGACACCATTTTACTGATATAGAATGGACATACTTCATTTTATTGGTCAATCTTTTAAATATGACGTCATTCGACGTCGTCTTCCATTGTGACGTCGACGTCAGAGTTCATCGTAGTTGTTTCCCTGATCGGAACTCATGATGGTTGATTATGTTTATCTAACTCTCGTAAGTTATAAAATGTAAAAGATACTCGGTAAAACCTTGTGTCTATAGAATTGGAAGTTTACTAACTCGAGTTAGATAAACATGACAACCAACCATCACTCGTTAAGAGACATCTATATGTGTGTTCGCGTTTCAACCTTCTTGGGTCGCAACAAGGTCACTGTTTCTATACACAGAACGTTAGCATCATCGCTCAACAGATTTGCTTCTTGTCATAGGTCAAGAAACTTCACATATATACATTGTGTGTATGTTCACAAGTTGTACCTTTCGGGTACGAGTTTTATTCTTTGGTAAAAAGTATCGTCATCGTTACTATAAATATTGGTCTGTACATTGGTCTCATAACTCCATACACTCTGACCTGATTGTTGTGATGTATAACTGTAGGTTCACAAACATCCGTCCCCCTTCCCCACTCCTACAAGGTTTAAAGAGTCACAACACCAACATTTCCACATGCAAATGTTTCTACGCTTTGAGTAGCGTAGACATTCTTTGATGACATCTAAATGTCTGAAACACCAAGAAAACGAGGATGTTTCTGGCTTGGGAGAAACGTCGCCTGGAGAAACAAGGACAAGGACATCAGGAATCCTATCGGAAGAGAACAGAATAATCACGAGTATCACGTTGGGTCGTCTCTAGAAGGAAGAAACGTTAATCCAATCGTTTTGTTTCAGCCATGCAGAATTCGGCTTTCTCATTTTCCACCAATTGACCTGGCAATACGCGTATACGGTAGCCTAATGTAACGTCAGCATAGCTAAAATCATAATGTTTGTTTTCGGCTTTCCCAAATCACTATTTGTTCAGTGGGTAAGTAGTTTTTTTTTCTCTCTCAAACATCAGCTTTCTTAGTAAAAACCAACTCTGGATTTTCAGCGTTTTTTTATAAAAATTAACTAAAAAAAGGTTCAGCAGATTCCATTTTTAGTAGGTCAGTGGGAAAAAAGTGAACAAAACATTAAATACCCAAAGGATGGCGTTCTTGTTCCTAAATGGGAACAAACCAAATACCATCAAACTATCATCTTTGACTCCTAGTTATACATATATTAATATAGTCCGCAATTCTCATTTTTAGCATGCCTTCTTTGTGGAGAGAGTCAGAACGTATGTATATAATATATATTTATTGTATAAAAAGCTGCAATATCTCCCGAACTCTGTGCCAGGTTCCGTGGGCACTACGTCCCGTTATTTCCTTAAGAGTTGTTAGGTTTGAATGACATTTATGAATTATTTATTAAGTACATATGCATGGGCTGGGTCGATCGGCGGCGACCAGGTAGTTATATGGGTAGAGCGTTCGTCTGGAGTTCGGAGGACCCGGATTCGAACCCCCTTTCAGGCCCGTTACATTTTTTTCCTTCAAGATACCCGGCTGGTAGAACCAGGGGCGTTTCTAGGATATTTGAAAGATGGGGCGTAGAATCAAATCTGTCGCCGAGCGGAGCGAGGCTAAAAATTTGGACCTTTTTTTTGCTAAAAAACATGAAATAATTGTGAAATGCACTAATGTAACGGTTCCTGACTTGGAGTATGTATATTTTATAGTTAAAGTGTCAGGGTGTTTATGTGTTCAGTCAAATAATTCTGTGTTTACCTTTATCATGTCAGTCCAATGACTGGATGTTTACCTTCATCATGTCAGTCCAATGATTCTGTGTTTACCTTCATGTCAGTCCAATGATTTGGTGTTTACCTTCATCATATCAGTCCAATAACTCGGTGTTAAACTTCATCATATCAGTCCAATAACTCGGAATTTACCTTCATCATGTCAGTCCAATGATTGGATGTCTACCTTCATCATGTCAGTCCAATGGTTGGATGTTTACATTCATCATGTCAGTCCAATGGTTGGATGTTTACCTTCATCATGTCAGTCCAATGATTGAATATTTACCTTCATCATGTCAGTCCAATGATTAGATGTTTACCTTCATCATGTCTGTCCAATGATTCTGTGTTTACCTTCATCATATCAGTTCAATGATTGAATGTTTACCTTCATCATGTCAGTCCAATGATTGGATGTCTACCTTCATCATGTCAGTCCAATGGTTGGATGTTTACCTTCATCATGTCAGTCCAATGATTTTATGTTAACATTCATCACGTCAGTCCAATGATTCGGTGTTTACCTTCATCATGTCAGTCCAAATATTCTGTGTTTACCTTCATCATGTCAGTCCAATGATTCTGTGTTTACCTTCATCATATCAGTTCAATGATTGAATGTTTACCTTCATCATGTCAGTCCAATGATTGAATGTTTACCTTCATCATGTCAGTCCAATGATTAGATGTTTACCTTCATCATTTCAGTCCAATGATTGGATGTTTACATTCATCATGTCAGTCCAATGGTTGGATGTTTACATTCATCATGTCAGTCAAATAATTCGGTGTTTACCTTCTTCATGTAAGTCCAATGATTCGATGTATACATTCATTATGTTAGTCCAATGATTGGATGTTTACATTCAACATGTCAGTCCAATGGTTGGATGTTTACATTCATCATGTCAGTCCAATGATTAGTTTTTTACCTTCATCATGTCAGTCCAATAACTCGGTGTTTACCTTCATCATGTCAGTCCAATGATTTGGTGTTTACCTTCATCATTTCAGTCGAATGATTGGATGTTTACCCCATCATGCCAGTCCAATGATTTGGGGTTTACCTTCATCATGTCAGTCGAATGATTGGATGTTTACCCCATCATGCCAGTCCAATGATTTGGGGTTTACCTTCATCATGTCAGTCCAATGATTGGATGTTTTCCTTCATCATGTCAGTCCAATGATTGGGTGTTTACCTTCATCATGTCAGTCCAAAAATTCTGTGTTTACCTTCATCATGTCAGTCCAATGATTTGGTGTTTACCTTCATCAGGTCAGTCCAATGATTGGATGTTTACCCCATCATGCCAGTCCAATGATTTGGTGTTATCATTCATCACGTCAGTCCAATGATTCGTTTTTTACCTTCATCATGTCAGTCCAAAAATTCTGTGTTTACCTTCATCATGTCAGTCCAATGATTTGGTGTTTACCTTCATCAGGTCAGTCCAATGATTGGATGTTTACCCCATCATGCCAGTCCAATGATTTGGGGTTTACCTTCATCATGTCAGTCCAATGATTGGATGTTTTCCTTCATCATGTCAGTCCAATGATTCGGTGTTCACCTTCATCATGTCAGTCCAATGATTAGATGTTACCTTCATCATGTCAGTCCAATGATTCGGTGTTTACCTTCATCATGTCAGTCCAAAAATTCTGTGTTTACCTTCATCATGTCAGTCCAATGATTCTGGTTTACCTTCATCATATCAGTCCAATGATTGGATGTTTACATTCATCATGTCTCAGTCCAATTATTAGATGTTTACCTTCATCATGTCAGTCCAATGATTGGATGTTTACCCCATCATGCCAGTCCAATGATTTGGTGTTATCATTCATCAGGTCAGTCCAATGACTGGATGTTTACCTTCATCATGTCAGTCCAATGATTCGGTGTTTACCTTCATCATGTCAGTCCAAAAATTCTGTATTTACCTTCATCATGTCAGTCCAATGATTCTGTGTTTACCTTCATCATATCAGTCCAATGACTGGATGTTTACCTTCATCATGTCAGTCCAATGATTGGATGTTTACCCCATCATGCCAGTCCAATGATTTGGTGTTAGCATTCATCATGTCAGTCCAATGATTGGATGTTTACCTTCATAATGTCAGTCCAATGATTTGATGTTAACATTCATCACGTCAGTCCAATGATTCGGTGTTTACCTTCATCATATCAGTCCAATGACTGGATGTTAACCTTCATCATGTCAGTCCAATGATTCGGTGTTTACATTCATTATGTCAGTCCAATGATTGGATGTTTACCTTCA